CAGCCCCTTCCCGGGGCTCCGTGTCCTCGCGGTGATCCAGCGCGCAGCCCCTTCCCCGAGCTCCATGTCCTCGCGGTGATCCAGCGCGAGGAGCACGAGCTGGTGCCTTCCACCCGCCCCGCACCGGGAGAAAACACGGGAAGGAGCCCTCACGTTGAAGGGAAGATGGCACCTGAGATGCCCGAGTGGCCAGGGAGCACTGGAGTTTCCTTCCCGAGCCGATTTACAAGCTAGCATTAATGGGGAAAGAATTATTATTATTATTATTTATTTTGATCTTGCACGTGTTTGCTTTTCAGGTCTTGCTCCATCGCCTTGCAAACTTCCAGCGCGTTTGGAGTTTACCTCCAAATGAAAATACGGGGAAGGAAGTGACTGCTCTCGCGTGGAGACCAGATGGCAAAAGTAATGTGGAGTATGAGTGACATGGTGCAATCAAAACAATAAAGAAACTGTTGGAAATCAGTGCAGATTGGGGTGGTGCTTTTTCCTGCTGTGGGAAATCTGCAAGTAAAGGGTATTGAAAGAAAAGGGTAGGTTAATTTTTTATTTTTATTTTATTCAAAGTTATGGGAAGGATACACTGTTGAGGCTACTGCAAGAAAGATTTACAGAGTAAGTTTATGTATAAGAATGTTGTTTTCCAAGCTATAGCAAGGCTTCCAGTTCCTAAGCGGAGTATTTTCATTGCTGCATAGCATTTTACTGCTGTTGAATAGTCTTCAATTACAGATTAGCCTCAAAATTGCAGAAACTAATGCATGTGCTTTATAAGAACTGTAGTGAAAAGCACCTAGGGTTCAAAACGCAGATAAATAATTATAAGGTCAGACTTTTGACTTAAAAATAGCATAGGAGAAAGTAGGTTTCAAGTGAGAATTTGGAGGCAATAAAAGACAAGGAGAAAACTAGATCCAACTATTCTGTCCAGTAATAGGCCTTGAAGGAATGTTGTTTTCTAGTCCAGCATAAAATAAATACAAAGCTTTGCATGTTGGTTATTAATATATTATACTTTACCTTCTCTAGTTTTGGCTTTTGGCCTTACTGATACCAAGCGGATTATTCTGTGTGATGTAGAAAAACCTGAAAGTTTGCACTCCTTCTCCGTGGACTCTTCCATTACCTACATGCACTGGATGGAGGTAACTGAAGAAAGCAGGTAGGTCTGAAAAACTCTACAGGTAAATGTGAGTGATGTACTACACAGGCTATCTTACTATGTAATATATAGTTAATATGTTACAAGTGGATAAATAAAATAATACAATAAATAGCTTTAGCACTTTCTAACCTTTTTGTTAAAATTAACTTTAGAATTGACATTTTTATGTGCTTATTTGTAGCGACGAAATCTTAGTCTTGAGGTTCTTTTAGGTTATATGGGAATATTGCAGCAAGATTTGAGCACCCACCTATTAAGAGCTTGCTTAATTTGGTGTTAATATGAGGACTGTCTCTCTCTTCAGTTTACATCAATGCGAACTAATGTATTCATTTATTAAACTATTTGTAATAATATTATTATTCATCAGTCTTGTTAACCAAGGAGAATGTTGTATTTAAATCTTAACTTCATTTCTGTTTATTATACCCTGACCCCTTTGGTGGGTCTGTCATGGGTGCAACTGCTTCAGGTTGTCAGAGTGCTGTGATCTCTCAAAAGCCTCTGACGTGTGTTGTGCAGTGCAAGACAATAAGTAAACATCTATTTTTAGAAGTGAGAGGAGTTTGTGGGGGGGGCAGGATGATTTGGGGATTCTCTTCCTTGTAAAGTACAAATTAAAAATAGTAAGAAAGAAAATACATCTTATATGGAACTATAATTTTTTTCTTTAAGAAGCTAAATTTATCTCCTGATAGGCAGTTTCATGCTTTGCAGCGTGTCTAAGCTGTGGTGAAAAGTGCTGCCCTTTAGTCTTCCTTATACTGTAGTATGTGCCTTAAAATTGAAGGGTTTTTTTGAGATGCAGATGTGGTGGGAGACAGAGTTGAGTTTATAATCAGTGTCTGCCACATCAGCATAATGGATAATTCATGGTGGATTTGTTGACAAACTACTGAGCAGATTAACATTTTTTTTGTTCTTTGGTGAAAATAAGACTAGATTATGAATCTCCATTAATTTGTTGATTTCATAGATCAAATTATTAAGAGGGCCTGAACCCTGAAATTGGCAACTTTTTAATTCATTGTGACCATTTGAATCTCTGCTGTAACTTCGGGGGTAGAAATAAATTCCATTTTCCCCTTTTTTGCAACTTTACTATCAGTAAAGACAATCATACTTCCTTTTCAGTGTTCTCACTTCATTTTACAACGCGGAGGATGAGTCAAATCTCCTTTTGCCTAAATTACCTGCACTACCAAAAAAGTAAGAATTACATAATGAAGATCTGATTTGTCATGTCGTCACTGTTTTGATTATTAATCTTGATGCTGTAAAGTGCTTTGGATTACACGTGCTCATTGTTACTGACAATAATTATTTTGTTTTCAGTTATAGCACCACTGCAAAAATCTTCAGGTGAGAAACTCATTTTATCTCTCTCTATTTTTTTCTTCCTTTTTTTTTTCTGTTATTGAGACAAGTTCATCTGCATCATTTTTTTTGTTTTCAGTGAAGAAAAGTCAGACGAGATTATGAAGCTTCTGGGGGATGTAAGGTAAATTCTGTGGCTTTCTTTTTAGTTGTAAAGTATTGGATAGTTTTCCTTTTTAAGTTACTAATAACTTATTTTTCATGGTTCTGGGGAAAGGATTTGGAATGCCTTCTTTTTTTATTTACAAAGATGAAGTCAGAAGAATGTGTTTTATTAAAAATGTCTTCATCGGTTTCCACTTGTTTTCCATTTCTATTTAAAAAGGTTGCCTGATGTGTGCTGATTTTCTTACCAGCAACTGCTGTTGCTGCCATAGATGCTTTTCTTGGTGAAAGATTTCCTGGTCTGCATTTGATGGGAATTTTGTGTATGTTTAAGATTAAGTTGATCCTGGGAACATGGTGAATTCTTGTTGTTCTGGGCAGGGACTTGCTGTGGATTTGCCTTAGTGTAACAAAGGTTAATTTGACACACAACCTAAAGTTGGCTGTGTTAAGATTGCTTTCAAATAACTGAGTATCTTTTACTGGGGGAACTGTGAGGAGCAGTTGCATGGGGTCTAGCGCATCGAATGGAGATCAGCGCTGCTGAATATTTGCTGTGCAGCCTAGATGAGGGCACTTCACTTCTGTGGTTGTTTTTCCATTTCCTTTCTCTTACTCTCCCATGTAGACCCATTGCTGAGAATCATGCTCCTCATTTCAAAATCTACATCTCTGCACAGGCACCAGTTATTCCCTCTTAAGACATGATATCTCTTCTTATAGTAGGACTAAGATAAAAGATAGGGGAGATGTGTGTGTATGTGTTGTAAGAGCTTTGCTGACTCTGTGCTCTTTCAGACGTCCAATTAAACCAAAAACTTTACAGATACTGCTTTGCTAAATTCTATATTTTATTTAAAGGAAACATTGCCTTTTCTCATATGGTAACCTGTGTAATAGGCAGAAATGGCAGTTAATTTTCTGTTGTTTATACAGGGACACGTAATGTCATTTCCTTTATATTGGAGAGCATTACTCTTCACTGTAATGTAAGCCATACTTAGTATGTAGTAGAAAGTATACTGGCATAAGACAGCAATAGACAATCTCTTTGTCCAAAGTTTCATGTTTTTAATGGATTAATTAAGGATTATATTTGTGTGCATTAGAATCTGACAGACAGGTGTGACTTCTGATAGTTTAGAGAGAAGAATTGGCAGTTTTATTTTCTGGTATACTCATCGCACATCTGCTTCTTCTTTTACAGGCTCAATGCTCTTGTTCTTGGTGGCAGCTCAGGGTTCATTGAGATTTATGCTTATGGAATGTTCAAGATTGCTCTGGTAACTGGGGTACGTTCACTTCCTTCCCATAGATTTTTCCTCAAAATACACCTTGATTGAATAAAACAGTAGATGTATGAAATGAGTGAAATGGGATTGCTGAAGTTTCAAGAAAGGAATGATTGCTTGCTTATCAACAACTTTGTATAGTTTTAGGTCTTGTTTCAAATGCAACAAATTCAGCATTGATGCACAGTAACAAGGGTGCTTTATTTTCTGTACACTAGCTGAAAATTTTACTTTGAATTTTTGCATGTAATTGAATGAAGCTACCTTAGTAGGTAGCTGTACTGTTTGCTCTGCTAGCACAGTAAATCTGCTAGCACAGTAAATACATAGTTGTATTTCTTGTATAATGCAATATTTCGTTAACTTTTCAACTTGAATCCTTCAGGTGCCAGGTTCTTGTCGTGGCCTATGTTTGTCTAGCGATTTGAAATCACTATCAGTTATTACAGAGATACAAGACTCTCCAGACAGTGAAGCAAAGATGACATACTTTCAGGCAAGTAAAATAAGTTTACAATGTTCTTTAACAGTAAAAAAGCTGTAGTTTAGTTACTTTCAGGTAACTTCATGGTTATCCTGTTATTCGCAGCAACTATTATTATTACCTATTATTACCGCAAACTACTTTCTTCAGTCTTTCTAAAATTCACCTCAGTTTAGCTTTTGGGTTTGTCACATTAACTTGCAGTCTCATTGATGAGACTGATGGAAGTGAAGCTCTGGGACATTCTTTTAAAATATTACTTTGGATATGATATTAATTTATTCAATTATATCTATATTTATTCAGACTTTCTTTATTTTGCACACAAAGGCACAATAGCAGTGTAGTAACTTATGAAGGCTATCAAGCATAGACATTCCTAAAATATTACTGTCAGGATTGCAAAATGTCAAAATAAGATTTTTTTTATCATGAAATTTTGTTGATGCATCAAAATTATTTGTGCTCCTTTGACTTCGAATGTATTTCCCTATTAAAATCAACTTTGAGAAAGTGAGAAAAGAGGCTTTTTCTGTGGATTCCTCCCAGTCTGTCATTTCTGTAGTCTAAAATTTCTCTGGAGACAAATCATCTCTTAACTATTACTTGTTTGTTACAGCTGGACACTAGTCTCTTATCAAGTTACTTACCTGAAGTAACTCGAATGGCTCGAAAATTTACTCACATTTCAACTCTTCTACAGGTAAAATTTTGCTTTCACATCTCTAATACCTGGCTTTTACAGACTTCAGTCTGTAAAATGCAAATAAAGTATTATCTAGTAGGAACCTTAAGTTGATTTTAAGTTAATGTAGAGCTCTAACTTGGAAATTTTATAATATGTTTAGTTTATCTCCTAGTATTGTAACATTTTGGTCTTGAATGTGTATTGAAGCTGGAGAAAAGTAATAAAGCCAGTGCTTGTGTCTGTATTACAGTATATAAAGTTATCATTGACATGCATGTGTGAAGCCTGGGAGGAAATACTGATGCAGATGGACTCGCGGCTAACAAAGTTTGTGCAGGTACTGCAGAAATACACTTCTGACAGTAGCTGTTTTGTTACTGTTAACATAGTTTGTATCTTAATGCTGCTTAAGTTTAATGCCCCCCAGGCAGCAGTCTTTGAGTTGAGGCAACCCAGAAGCTATTCCATGTTAAATACTTTGAAGCTAAAGATACCTGAATATAATAAAGCATGATCATATTGTGATATTTCTGTATTTTATTTATTCTGAGTTTTTCAAAGTGATAGTTTCCAACTTCACAGTTGCTACTCAGTTGTTTTCTATTTAAGGTTGTGTTTTTATATCGTTCAGTCACTGATAGTCTGCCTACTATAAATATTGAGTGCAGTCCACCAGTGTTTGCAGCCTGGTTCAATAGCACAGGTGTAACAGACCCATGCTTTAGATGCTGTTGGACTGGCTTACATCCTGTGGCCATTGATCATGGCTAAAAGTTAATTTAAACTGGTAATAATTAAGTTAATTTAAACTGGTAATGATTTCTTTTAAACATAGATTCTTGGTGATGCTGAACTATTTGGAATTTTTACTGGGGAGTAGAAATGAAAATAACTTAAGTTACTTGACTCTGTCTTTGAGTTTCAGTGATCAGTAGTCTGATTTCAGCATTCAAGAATATGCTTGTTTTTTTCCTATATACTTTTTTTTTCCTGTATACTAATGTGAGATTATTTGGTAGACTGAATTTAATCTGTTTACCTATCTATTTCAATCATTTTGACTGGCAGGAAAAGAATACAACCACTTCTGTGCAGGATGAGTTTATGCAGCTGTTATTATGGGGCAAAGCAAGGTAGTTACTGTTGTTTTATCTGAGTATGCATTTGCATTTGAAGTTGAAATACAAAATGAAAGCATGTTTGGTTCTCTTTTCTCTTCCAACTCCTGTCCTTAGTCTGGAACTTCAGGCATTATTAATGAACCAGCTGACAGTAAAGGTATGTTAATGTTTTTTAAATCTTCATGTATTCAGTATCCTTTAATTAATATCTTGTTATATAAACATGTTAACATTTCTTTTCTTAACAGGGTTTAAAAAAACTTGGTCAGTCCATAGAGTCTTCGTACTCGAGTATACAAAAGTTGGTCATAAGTCATCTGCAGAGGTAAGTCACAAGATATCCAATGAATTAGAGAGAAATTGGCATATTATATGGCTCACTGAAAGAATTTGTGCTATATCGAGGGTTCTGTGAACGTAGGTGTGTTGGTGTGGAGACTGTGGTGTTGCGAAATGTGCTAATTTAATTTTGGATGCTGAAGAATTTTTGAACATACTTCGAACAATCTCTATGAGCAACCAACTGCCCCTGACTAGTGTTTGGGTAGGAGCCATGCAAAACATTCATAGCAACTTTGGGTTGTGGTTAAAATAATTTTCCTGTGAAATAATAATTCACAAAAGCTATAATAATAGCTTTTATATACCAGACTACTGTATAAAAGTTCCCATTCACCCATTTAATAAAAATTCATTGTGCAATGAAGTAGTGAGTTTTCAAAGGACTGACTAAAAGACTTTACTACTTTGCTCTGCCTTCCTAGTGGCTCTGAGGCACTGTTATACCACTTGAGTGAATTGAAAGGAATGGCATTATGGAAACAAAAATATGAGTCTCTAGGACTAGATGCATCTGGAATTGAAGGTACAGTAGTGTTTGTGTGCTATTTACCCACTCCCATTTTACTTTTTCAGGCTTAGTAATAATGTTTTGCTCTCTTTGTAGATGCTATTACTGCTGTTGGTTCTTTCATCCTGAAAGCAAATGAGCTGCTTCAGTAAGTATAAGGCCTGGAGATAGATAGAAAGATTGATTGATTTTTAGGTTTTAAAAAAAAAGCCTATTAAGTGAAGTGTCTGGGGAAGCATGTGGCTGAGAGGAGTGGAAGTTGGGAGAGCAAATCTCATCTCACTGCACCTTGGAGAATCCAACCTCAAGAGCAGTCCTACTGTGAAGGATGCTTTAAGCATTTTTTAAAAATTCCTAATGCTTGTGTGTCTGTCTGTTAACAAAGATGGAACTTAAACCTGGGCAGCTTGTGACAGAGAGACCAGGTAGTTTATTTTCTTGTTTCTTGTACAGGGTTATTGACAGCAGTATGAAAAACTTCAAAGCGTTTTTTCGATGGCTCTATGTTGGTAAGCTTCATTTCACAGTAAGCAGGCAGTGTCGGTTTTGTATTGTAAACATTGAGATGTTGGCAAGTAATTAAGCCAATCTGAAGTATAACTGTCTATTTATTGTTATCATAGAAAATTCTGGCACACACAAAAGGTTATGTTTGGAGCAACAATGATTATAAATTTATGATTGATATACTAAATAGCCATAGGTCCCAGTTATATTTATGTGCACAGAATTCAGAATACATGTAGGTATTTTATATGCTTATCCTGTAATATATTATTCCAAGTTGTTTTCTGCTTCATGACCAATTTGATTTGGAGAAATGAGAGGGCTGTGATTTACACAAATTTTGAAGTATGGCCTGACTGGCTGCCTGGCCCCTACTCTGCCACTGTTGGGATATATATATATATTTTTTTTCCCCCCCCCGTGAGGACTTAGATACCAGCTAAGTTATGCACAGGTATAAACATTCTCTGAATGTTCTGATGCAATTTATAGACCCCCTCAGACTGTAGTTGAATAGCTACAAAATAAACATAAGAAAGAACCGAGGAATTTTATATTTTAGTGTTGCTAATTTTTGTAAGTGTTTGTAAATACACTTACAATTTTAGTTGTTTTTTAAACTGTTTTGCCAAAAAAAGCAGTTTTGTAAGTCACATCAGTCGTTATAATTTCATAATAATTAAAAACATTATGTTAGTTCGTAGGTGCTAACACTGCATTTCTGGTGCTTTTAAATTTAAAAATTGCAGAAAGCAGAACTGTAAGAATTATCATAACATTAACACTTTAAATAACCACTCTTTGCCACTGTTGAAACTAAACAAAGAACTTGGTATCTGAGCCTTAATGATTAAAATGTCTTTTTTTTTCAGTTCTCTTTAACACATGAATATTGCTATGCACAATATAACAGTGTATTATAGTTTTTTATTTTAATACTGTTAGTAGGAAAAAGAGGTCCTCACCAACCCCTAATAATAATTTAATCTTGATCTTGTAGAGGATGGAATTCACATAAAAAGGATAAAAATAGCTATGTGCAGATTAGTGTTACAAATAAGTGGGGCAGGTGAGCCTCAATTACAGTCTCAATTCGTAATCCTTCATTTTAGAGTCTTTTGTTTCTGAAAAATCCTTCTATGTTATTACCAGTGTCTTGTTACACAGCTATGAAAAAGGATGAGAATATTAGGGGGAAAAAAGAACTGTTAATACATTAAGAATATCATTTTTCCCTCAGCTATGTTGAGGATGTCAGAAGATCATGTGCTTCCTGAGCTGAACAAGGTAGTAGTAACTGCTAGTTTGTGGTGATATATTTTAATATTCTGCCAAACTTAGAGGGCAGTATTAAAAGCTTAATTTTGGTTCCAAACCTTGAACAATACTATCTGTACTGCTCCTTTGAGAAAGTTGATGGCCTCAGCTTTGAACTAATATACTCCATTTCACAAGTATTGCTTTTACTTTGTTAATACTACTCTTTTTACAAAGCATGTGTGTGAATGTGTGACAGCTGTGAAGTACTTGCCTAGTGGCTCTTTATATGCCCTAAATGTCCTCTTTTATTCCATTTCTGAAAATATCAAGGGTCCAGATGGTGAGCCTTCTTTTAGTGCTTCCTTCTCCAACAACTGCCTCTTTCTCTGACCCAAGTCAGTGGGATTTTAATATCCTTCCCAAAGACCTGGAAGGGGGGCTGGAATACTCCTGCTGCAGCAGCCTGCAGAGTGCAGTTGATGGGCGCAAGGACAGAGTTGTCATCCACAGTGACCTAGGCAGCCAGGATGGCCAGGGGACTGGAGTAATCATCCTGTGAGGAGAGGCTGAGGGAGCTGGGTTTGTTTGGCCAAGAGAAAACACATTCCTTGCAGTTTCTACATTTTTATCCTTTTTTCTTTCTTATAGATGACTCAGAAAGATATCACATTTGTTGCTGATTTTCTTACTGAGCACTTCAATGAGGTAAGCTGTTTGCTGAATACCAAATATAGCATCTGAGTGTATTTTTGCTGATGATGATTGAACTTGGAAATCTTTAGGGAAAATAGTTGAATCTCTTTTTTGTACACTACTTGTCATTGAACTTTGGGGTTAAATTTTCCTTTTGTATGTGTTTGTTTTTCAGGCACCGGAGCTCTATAATCGTAAAGGAAAATACTTCAATGTGGAAAGAGTTGGCCAGGTAAAGAACTAAGGAATGGAAAAAATAATAAGTACAAAAATTCTAGATGAAAAAATTTAAAGCTTTTATTTTCTCTCCCTGCCCTTTCCTGTGTTGCACATTCCAGCTATGATAGAGGAGAGTATCAATTATTTTTCACTGTTGTTAGGAAAAGAAGTGTTTAAAATTTACTTTGTAATCTTAACCTTATGTATACTCTGTTTTAAGAAAGAGGTGAAATTATTTTGTGACCAGCAGTATTAGTGTAAAACTGAAATCTACTTATTGTCTTTATGCCATTATTCAGTGGATTTCAAAACATTTGCACTCATCCTTTATTTTAAGATTGGATTCACATGGAAATATGCTGTTTACAATAATTTGTTTTCTTATTAGCTCCTGGAAGAGGTGGAGGATTTAATATCGTATGTATGTATTATTCTTAATATTAACAGAGATGCTTAGCAGACATGTGAGGGACAGTGTTGGAGGTGAGTTCTGATGTCCTTTGTTCTTAAATAATGATCTTGTAAATGTCCTTTTCTTTTGTAGTACTTGAAAGATGAAGATGATGACCTTGTATCACCACCTAATACGGAAGGAAATCAATGGTTTAACTTTCTTAAAAATAGTACCCATCTTAAAGGTAACTTGTGCTTTATACAGTGAATCAAAGAAACATGTAGACCTTAACAAATTTAGAAGAATAATCTGTTTTTCACGCTTAAGTTATTTCTATGGTGTTGGTTATGTATTTTTATCTAAGTAAAATAAAATAAATGGACCTTGTTATTTAATAGAGTTTTCACGTAGCTGCTTATTCAGCCAGTTGCCCTTTGCTGTATATTAGGAGTTTCCTACTTTTTATGAACAAGTGTCAGAAATGTTGGTTTCTCATGAATCCCAGGAAGATGTCTATTTTAGGAGACTTTAATTCCTAAGCAAGTAATAATAAGGAAGGAATAATAAGGACATACACTTGGTCATACCTGACAGTGTCTTCTTCATTCTTTCTCTCTGGGATTTAAGATTTCACACTGCTGCTACATTGTTTTGTTTAATTAGTGTTAAAAGGGAAGTAAGAGACAATGACAAACTGATGCTGAGAATGACCAGAATAGTCATAGTTTCCATTAACCATAGCATCTAAGGACTGTAAAACTTCTACAGTGTGAGTTGTCTTGTTATTATGAGAGGGAATTTGCCATGGCTGCCTTTTTGGGTCTGTTAACAATTAAATGAAAAGAGGGGAGGCTGTTGCACCTTCTTCTATTTGGCAAAACAGTCTCTAGAAATATTTTAAGATATGCTTCTAAGATATATTTACCTAAATTATCAAAAATATATGTAGATTATTTGACATTTCACTTCTGTTACCCTCCAAGATCCATAATTGTAGACAGATTGCTATGAATGTCTTTGTATTATTTAGTTATTGAGATGTATGTTTGTCTTTCTTCTTAGGACTGTAAGGTTTATAGCGATTAGGAATGTTACATGTGCCTCTGTGCACATGCAACACTCTTACTACCATATTTTGGTGTCCTGTATTACTTTGCTGATTGACTTATTTTTTGTACTCTTTTCCAGCTAAATATTGGAAAAGAAACAGATTAGGTATATAAAATAAGTAGTAAGATTTATCTTTAAAACTAAGTGTCTTTTTATAATGTATCCTTCACAGAGGGAATGTCGTACCCAAAATACAGCTACTATAAAAAGTACAGAAATGCTTTTGCTAAAACAAGATATTGCATGTACAATTTCATGTACAACTGTACTGCTAGCTCTGGGCTCCCTCAGCCACCTGTTTCTGTAGTTTCAAATGGGTGATGAAGGAATGCTGAAGGGATGAGCAGGTCTCTGCTTCTTCATTTCCCTCATGGCATGCTGTATTACAGATATAATCAATAATAATAAAAGGACCTGGAGGTCCTCTAGTCCAAGCTTCTGTTCTGTGGGGGACTAACTTCAAAATGCAGCTGGGCTGCTCAGGGCCCTGTGCAGTCGAGTCCTGGGTGCCTGCAGGGAGAGGGCCCCGGGCTCGCTGGGCCTGCTGCCTCGACGCACCTCGGGGGAGCTTTCTTCTTGCACCCAGTTGGAAATTCCCTTGCTGGAGCTTATGACTGTTGCAACTTCTTCTCTCGCTGCGCGCTCAAGAGAAGGACGTTGCCCTACCTTCAGAAAGTCTTCTGTAGCTGAAGAGCCCCTTTGGCTCCTTCTCTTTGGCTCTCTCTTCTGCAGGCTGAGCCAACCCCTCAGCTTCTGCTCATAAATCGTTCACTGCAGCCTCCTGACCATCTTAGTGCCCTGCCACCAAACTCGCTCCATTTTGCGTTATACAGTGCAGCATATTTTGAGGTACGCGAGTTTTTAAAAAGAACTTTGGTTTATCTGTTTCCAGAAAGTCCACTATTGTTTCCTTATTACCCTGAGAAGTCGCTGCATTTTGTCAAAAGGCAAATGGAAGAGATCATTGATCAGTGTTTACAGAAACCAGCTGTAAGTTCTGTCTTTACAAATTACAACTTTGTTTTAGGGTAGTTTCAACTGAAGACCAAGGGAAACTTAATCTTTAATCTTTGCCTTTGGCTGCCTACCCCATGGGTGGTAGCACGCAGCCTCGCTTCCCCTTTGCTGGGGGTCTCGAGCCTTTGGCTAAGGAGAGAATAGTGGGATGTTTCTAATTTTCTTTCTTACTTGACCCTGTACATGGATGGAATCTATTTGAACATTAATTAGCATCATGTATGCACTATATCTTATATAGCTGTATTAGGTGGCCATATTCATTTTTATATTCTGAACAAATGCAGAGCAAGTGCATCAAGTGATAGTAGTGTTTGCAATGGAGATGTTTATTCCAGCATAGATGCTGGTGGCTTTCTCTTTCAAATGTACTTGGGTTTTACTTTGTCTTTTCTTTATTTGCCTTAAAAAGGTGTATAGCTGTGAGTAACTTCTTGTGTCTTTTGGCTTGTTTTTATTGTATTTGATAGGATGTAATTGGAAAGTCAGTGCATCAAGCAGTCTGCATGACTCTCTACAAAACTTCTCAAAGGTATTTCTGCATTATTTTTAAGCTCAGTTGCACAAGATTGTGCAAGTACTTTTTAAACTTTTTTTTTTTGCTTTCCTTTCAGTGAAGATTCCACGCCACAGTTATTTAAACTACCATTTCTGTAAGTATGCTGCTATTCTCTAGTGCATTTCGTTAACCAATTATTATAATTTGATATAACTTTTTATTTCGTCCTCTCATGTTATAGGTGGAATGATAAAACCTCCAATATCCATTATGTTCTCTTCACCATGTTAGAAAGCTCTGTTTCCAAAATATACATTTTGAGGAGACACACAGATACTTCCAGGTAAGAAATGAGGGAAGCACAGTGTTTGTGGGCTTTGGTACATGTGTATGTACAGTCAGTTACCACTTGAAACTTCCTGTAAAAAGGGATAAGCAGCATGAGCACAATCCCTCTTTGACTGAATCTATAAATGAGGAGTCCATTAGGAAGAGCAGTAGGAAAATGTGGTAGGAGTTTGTGTCTTACTAGACTTCAAGAATCTAATCATAAGACCCAAATTGTTTGTAGGCTTAGGATAAAAAAACAATCAGGCTGCTTTAGTTTTGCAGAATTACTCACAGAACTACTTGTTTGAGCGATAACATGTAAGGAACCAAACTTTAAAAGTTGGTTTATCGTCTTGTAAGTATTCTTTTGTTAACCCCTTGCAGCCTGTAATTTAATGCACTAATGAAAAATGGGAGGGTTGACTCATAGGTGAAACATCTCTTCTGGGTGTAGTTTTGTGCAGCTTCAGGAGTTTCTGCACCCAAGTTGCCATTTATCACTGTCTCAGTTCTGATGCAACTGCTTAAGCTATATTCTGTCAGAGGGATCACTGAGATGTCTTGGCCTTAAAAAACATCAGGAACTCCTCCCAAAAGGATTTATTTTATAATCTGGGTTACTTCATGGGAGGAGATGATAAACTGTGATAGGGTGGGAATTTTTAAAGTGGTTTTACCACTGGAGAAAATGCATAGAATGGTTAAGGTTGGAAGGGACCTCTAGAGGTCATCTAGTCCAACCCCCCTGCACACGCAGGGTCACCTAGAGCACATGGCACAGGACTCCGTCCAAGCGGGTTTGGAAGATCTCCAGAGAAGGAGACTCCACAACCTCTCTGGGCAGCCTGTTCCAGTGCTCTGTCACCCTCACTGTTAAGAAATTTTTCCTTAAGTTCCTGTGGAACTTTTGGTGTTTGTCTGTGGCCGTTACCTCTAGTTCTGTCGGTGAAGGTATTCTCTGTATTTTCAGCTGGGCGTCTCTGATGACAAAATTACAGCCTCGTGGTGTAGTTTCTATCTTGTTTTTTTCCCCCATTAGTATTTAAAGCAGTCTGAACTGGTGTTTTTATTGAGTTGAGTAATAACTAACTTGAGACATGAGATTAGGACAGTTGAGCTTGAAATTCATTAAAGAACCCAACCCCACAGCTGGATGCAGTTTCCCAGTTGAATTCATTACGCCTGTTTTGTTGGTGGAAGAAGAAAACCAAAGGTTTCCTTCCAATTATATTGTTAGAGATGTAGCCATGTATTTTTTAAAGCCTAGATAGGCTGCAGCATCTCTTTCTATAGCACATCAGAGTTCTTTGGATTTCCTGAGTGGAAAAATAATTACCTGGGTATAATGAATGATCACTCTCCTTTTAGGTCTGTCAGTAATGGACTTACTGCTGTAGAGTTTGGAAGCTTCTTGAACAGCAGTATAAATGACAGCTCAGACTCAAGGTCAGTATATCTAGTTGACTTTCATTCCAGAATTGAAGATTGAATACTCTGTTTTCCAGTGCTTATTATTACATGGAGTTAACTCTCAAGTATTACACTTTTCCTGCCAAACAAGGTTAGTTGCCTAGCTTGTAGTCTCTGAGGGAGTCAGGCTATAAGGAAGGGCACAGGTACAGGATTGTGGGAGCCTTTTTATGCTAAAGGAAGGTAGGCTCCAGGTTTTTATTTTAAAAAAAAAAAAAAAAAAAAAAAAAAAAGCTATCTGGAAACAGCTCTCTTATCTGTAATGTTTGTAAAGTAAGACAGCATGAGAGTTGAGGTACCTGAATGAAAATATTCTAGAAGATGTTGGAGCAACTTATCCTTTAACAAGGAAAGGCCAGATGGGCCTATGTGCTTTCAGTTGTGTTTCTAAGCGTTCCTCGTGTTTACTGTTTTTAGCATGCTTATTTCTTCCCATTTTAGGTGAAAAGTGAAAAGTTTTTGGTCCCTAAAATATTGCAGTGTTTTTGACTGTCTTTCAGTGTCTTGGCTGCAGGACATAGTGTTTTACAATTTACAATAAAGCTCACTGCCAACTATATAACATTAACCCTGTCAGTCCTAAAAATATTTCAGTTTTGTGTTCACTTTTATTCTTTGAAACTTTCCAAAAAGTAAATGCTGCTTTTTATTTATTTATTTATTTTTCACCATAGGTGCTACAGTTGTTTAGATGCACATTTCTATGATGATGAGACAATAACTGTAGTTCTGAAGGAAACTGTGGAACAAGAGGGGAAGGAGAGAATCTTGGCTCAACTGCCTTTATCTTCAGTGTACACTGATGAGGACCAAGAAAAGGAATTCATCTGGGATTCTGCTAAAAGGTATTTGAAAATCTTTCCTTGAGTTTTAAAAGGGAGAGCTGAAAAGAAGGTTAATCTCATATTTTACATACACACACACACACACACATATATATATAAAATTTGAAAATAGACATATTGGCCCCTTCTTTTTATGTCATAAAGAATTGTGTGTTGAAGAATAAAGAAACTACTGAAGAACAAAGAGTGTATTTAAAACAAGACTATTTAAACTAATTCTGGCCACTGTGTTAGACAAATAATCCCTTCATACACAACCCTTTGGTGAAGGCCAAACTTAGATGTAAGCGGAGGCATTGCCTTCAGCACTTTGTTCTGAAACTCTTCTTGTAGAGGAGAAGCTTGAACAAAGCTCATCCTCATCCTCTTGCTGCAGAGGATGCTGCCCAGGAGGGGGGAAGTTTAAGCTCTAAACTCCGTTCCCTTTTACCTCAGTTGAAACCTGGCGTGTCTCCCCAGACAAACAGACCAACTGATTTTTTTTTTTTTTAATACTAGAGTTGTTTCTGATGCACTAGTTCTGTGCTTCTGTTCCTGTTATGTCCAGGTTGGATGAGCAAAGCGGTGAGATACCCACACGGACAGTGCTTTTGGAGAATCAGTGGAGAGTGCTGGAGAATATGAAAGCTCAGTATGTTGCTGTAAATGGTATTAGAAAAGTTTCCTGTGTGGTAAGTATAGTATCTGTCAACAAGCCTATGAATAATTATAAGAAATTTGTGCTATTGTCAGACAGAGTAATAACCTGTTTCTGTTAACTTAATGAAATTTATCAAGCATGTGTTTTTTTTTTTTTTTTACTGAAAGATTTTCTCATTATCTATTAACAAGTGTGTCAGGTTGCAGTCATACTTCTCATAACATAAAGTGGAAAACTTAAACCGAAGTTAATAGATTAGTTTGTGTTACTCTTCAATCGGAAAAGCAACAGAACAGTTGCTGGTTTGTTGTTATCTCCCTTTCAAAGAAAACAAACATTTGATAAAGGCTATTTTAAAGCCATTTACCAACGTGTAAAGTGGTATTGCTTTCCGGGGTGAGGCAGGTTGGGTGATTTTGTTTGATTGGTTCGTTAATGGAGATTTTTAATATTTGCATAGCTAAGTTCAAATCTCCGTCACGTGAGGGTGTTCGAAATGGATGTAGAAGACGATGGGGAGGCTGAAGAGGAAGAAGAAGAAGAAACAGCTCCGACTGCAGCTGGGGAACCTGAAGAGCTGAACCAGTCTGCCGGCAGCCAGGACAACGTGTGTGGTGCTGCTGCTGAAGAACTGCCTGGGGAGCCTCACGAGCCTGGATCCTTGACATCGTCATTGATACCGGGAAAGGGACAAAGCTGAAATCCAGCGTCAGGGCACCCAGGTGGCTTGTGCTGCACCTGCTCAGCAGCGTCAGCGGGCCGTGTGTCAGGGCACTGCAGAGAGCTGGGGCTCTCTGTGTCTGTTTGTTGCCCTTTTGGGGTGGGGAGGCGGGTGGGAAGGCACATGACCTGATACGATTTCTGCCAGAGTTTTTGCATTTGCAGTTTTGTGTGGGTAGGAATAATAGGAAATAACAGGAGTTTTCCCAGCCAGACTGTTGCGTCCTGAATATTGCTCTTAAGAAGAATGACTTTGTGTGTGATAACAGCAATATCCCTTGTTTTAAGGACCAAATTATTTCCCTGTCAGACTGTGTTCTAATGAATGAGTGGAAAGACTTCTTGTAGAGCCAAAATTTAAATGTTTGTATTGCCAACAGCGTGTCTGCAGATCAGTGTAAGACCAGTTAGACACCAAAATTTAGCAACTGTTACTTAAATACATAAAAAAATATTTTTGTCTACATTTGTATTCACAATAACATAATGTTTGTTCAAGCTGGGAAGGTCATTGGTCAGTGCAGCATTTTTGTTTGTTTTGTCAAAAATGTGTGTGCGCCTCAACCTGCCCATGGTTCCGTGAGATTATTCTTGAAAGTCTGTGTCTCACTTAGGTTTTTGTAATGAAAAGTTACAACAGAGAGTCTATTTTTCTATTCTGATGTGACACTGTGTTCTTCCATAGGTTAGTATATTTGTGTTCCTTACTAATATATATTTTGTCCAATAAGGGCTAGAAACTTAAAATGTTTTCCTGTTGCCTACTAGCTTTTTGAACAAACAAAACTGCTAAATGCATGATCTTCCTCCAGGACAGTGAGCGCACCTTGGATTGTGAAAAGGAAGCCAGGTTTTACACCAGGTTTTACCCTTGTAAACAAAACAAAAAAACCCCACAAACTTTTCTTTGACAGACACTTCTGATATATTTTTTCCCCTTTCTTACCAGCCTCCTTGGAAGTTGTTGGCTATTTAGTTTTATTGCTCTTGTCTAACAGATGCTAATGATTGAAATGTTTGAGGCCATAACATGCTAATGATTGTCTAACAGATGCTAATGACTGAGGCCCCAAGAAAGCTGTAGGGTGCAAAGGCCCCGTCAGAAGTGCTATGGATTTAGTTATCCTTGCTGAGCAATTACTGCTTTTACAGAAACAACTCAGCTCAAGCCTGTCCTTGCCTTCTCACAGAAAGTTTTTGCCCCTGGTCTCACTTTAAAAACTGCCACACTTGGAAAAAATGTTTTTGCTCTACTCTGCTGCATAGTTTTAGTGCATAGTTTCATATGGAAATGCTGTGATGTGTCCTGCCTAAAATTGTTTCCGAATCTGTGCAAGAGCAGCCGTGTGCCTTGCCAGCGTTGCGGGCCCTTCGGCCGTCTCCCTGTGGTTATTTGCACCTCCTTGGTCCAGTCTAGGACGTGAGCAAGCAGGAGTTTTGTTCCAGGCTTCACGAAGGACATAGGCAGTTTCTCCTTCTCCCAGGCACAGTACAAATGCATCCACTTAGATAAGTACTTTTCAATGCATTGCTCATTCCTTCTGTCAAAGTTTGTTTTTGTTTTGCTATCAAATTACTGTTGCTGTAAATGTTCAGCTGTTTTTGCTTGCATGATGAGGAATAATCCTGAGGTGTTTTTGAGGGACACAGTGATCTGATTTGTCATCTTCATCTTGTTTTCTTCCTTCACTTTTACAGCAATCGAAGGCCTTCCTGTGCTATGACTTCTCATTCTTCCTTTTGTAGTTAAATACTTTTATATTCTCAGCAAATGTGCTCACAGTCTGCTCTGTACTATTAACCTTCAGATCTATAAAACCACAACTGATACCCCGATTTTTGTTTTAGTATCTACCTTTTTGTATGTGGTATTTCTAGCTTTTTTAAAAAAAAACATCAGGCTGCCTTTGTTTTTCTGTTATTTACATTATGTATTCCCTTTTCCTGCCCACATCTTTTCTGCCTGTTCTCCATGGCTTGGAAACTTGCACGTGCTTCAGTTTCTGCCTTGGTCCCTGATCTGTTAGTGTTGCTTTGCTTCTGGTGTTGGCACACTGTGACCTGCCCATGGTGGTGTTTCCCTCCACTTCTGTGAATTTGTTTTCCTTCTCATGAACATCTTCATAGAGGACCATTTCAGCACTGCTTAAAAAAACAAGAGAGAGAGAAAAATCAAAATTTAGTAACCAGGAGGCCTTGCTTCAACTAACTCTGCTTCCTTTGCTAGACATTCATTGATGTAAGTATTTTTGTAATAGTACTTGCAGGTAAGCTTGAGTCTGGCTTTGAAAAACCTTGATAGAGAAGAGGAAAGTCATCTGTGTAAGTTCTGAAGTTTCTCTGGTCAATGCTAATACCCATGGTCAGAGCTGGCTCATACAACCTGCTGCAGTGGTCTCTGAGAAGAGCTCTCTTGCCAGCCCAAACAAGCTGTTGCTGCTCAGGCTGGCTCCAGTCTAACTTTGGGCCTCACAAGCTGGTTTAGAGGGAGAGCTGACGTAGCCCTCGGCAAGGAGCTGGACATCTTGGAGAGGGGAAGGAAGACTTTTGCATGG